AAATAAATAAATAAATAAAATAATAAAATAAAATAAAACTGTGGAGTAGGGTTTCATTTGCCATCAATTCCACTCACCCATTTCTGTACCATCCCTTCCCGTATCCTGAATCCCTACACCATACTCTTTCTGATGCATAAGGCTTAATCCCAACAAATTCCCAGGATTAGTGTCCCTCCTTAATAATGAAGTTGATGTTCATATCATCTCCTTCACCTCCACCTAGAGACTTCTAATAAACCAGAAGTGGTGAGGTTAATTGGGAGTCCTGTCTGCAATAGCAGTTTGGATGGGGAGGGATGCCAGCTGTCAGGCATCCCCAAACATAAGCGCAAAGAAAAAATTTTACTGAGTATTATTCCTCAACTTAACCAAGTTCTTTCCAATCTTTCCTCACAAAGTACCCAAAACAAAATGACAAGGTATCCATCAGAAATTTAGTATCTTTAGTTAGAGTTTTACATTTTTGGTCTCACATATTATGAATTTAATTCAAAAGATGGGAAGACCACAGTTACATCCTATGTGGTGACAAAACTAATGGAGGGACACTGTTTAAACAAGTGGATGTTTCTAGAACTTCCATTGCACAAAGCAGATGCTATGAAAAATAACTGAGTTTTGTGGTCATGCAGCCCTAATTATCTTTCCTCCCAAGATTCTTCTGCTTTGGCTGAAGTGAGGATGACATGAATCAATATATATTTATGTAGCAAAGAACATATAATAGACTAGATATTCTAAAATGTAATTCTGCTTCATTAAAATCAACATACATACTTTTACTGTCTCACTGAACTTCAGGAACAAAGAATCATAAGTTTTAGGAGGACAAAACCAAGACAGTGAGCCATAAACCAATATTAGGGTTGTATCATGCAGAAATACTTGTACCAGCTTGTAGAAGAATAGAAATCCAAGCCTTGAGCCCTTGCCAAGTGCAGATGTTGAATCTGAGACTCTCACATGAAGTTTTAGTGAAAAGGAGACTAAAAAAGAATATCACCTAATAGCAAAGGGATTAAACATAAAATCTGTCCACTTCTGATGCAGCTTTGAATTGTAAAAAAAAAAAAAAAAAAAGTAACAAAAGTAATAACATGACATATGATATTCATAGTACAACATTTCTGCTGAAACTTCAGTCATAGGCTTGCTCTCATTCAGGTCTGCAGCTCAAACTTATACTCACTCTCTCTTCAGAAAGAAAAAAAAAAAAAAAGCAAAAACTTAAAATAATCCTAAATTGGTAGCACCTCTTGGTACTGGTAGGATTAAATGCAAATTTTGCCTAGAGGAAGGCTTCCGAATTTTTGATCATCAGTGTTTCTACAAATTAATTTCAACAAAATATGTGTTCACACACATACAGACACACACACAGACACACACACATGAGAACAAGGAACCATAGGAAAGGAGTAGAAAACCAAAAATCACAGATTTAGACCCCTACAGACTTCAGATATTGGGATTATCAGAGGCAAAATGTTCAATAGCTATTAACATAATAATTAGACATAAAAATATAGAAACAGTAAAATGGGTGAGAACAACAGACTAAATAGATGTGTTTGAAAAAGAACAAATAAAAACTTTTAGAAATAAAATGATAATCAATGAAAAATGTCTCAATGACTGGGTTTAATGAGATATTAGGGAGAGCTGAAGAGAGAATTAGTGAATTTGAAGATGGGAAAACCAATACATTGCCCGGAATGCAAGATAGACAAAAATATTAATAATAATGATATTTATTATAAAAGTACAGTAAGAAACATGAAGATAAAAATGGAAAATGTAAGATTTACCTAGTGCAGGTCTAAAATAATTGAATAGAGAGAGTAAGAAAGAAGCCTGATTTGACATGCTGAGAATTTTTGAGAATTAATACGTGGATACATGTGAATAGTACATATGCTATAGATAGATACATAAGAGCTAATAAATAGATACAAACAGGAAACACACACATCAAAGGAGATACTTTAAAAGAAATATACTATCAGACACAAGGCTATAAAACTGCAAAACACCTAAATAAAAAAGAGGACCTTAAAAGTAGCTTGTGGGTGTTGGAGGGGGGATGATCAGAGCACTTTCAAAGGCAGGACAGACTGACAGCCAACTTTTCAACAGTAATAGCAAAAGACAGAAGACTAAAGTGATGTGCTGGTGAGGATTTAAATCTGACCCCTTAATAGTGGGAGAGACCTGTAGCATTTCTGATTTCCATAAACACTCTGAGTTTATCCAGTTTCAAACTGGATTGTATCAGTGAATGCAGAATTGGGCATAGATGTGTATAACAGGTTCCTATGTGCTAGTGTGAGCTAGCTCCATCACATACCTGAATAATTCTCTCAATATCAGAAGGAAAATATCCTTTATTATTGAATTGTATGTCTAGCAAAATTATCTTCCATTAATAAAGGTGAAATAAAGTCCTTTATCAGATGAACGGACACTTAGACAAAGAAACTCATAAGGATTTACTTCAGAAAGAAGGAAATTAAACCTTGTAGTGAGTAGAAAGTTATGAAGTATATGAAGGATTGAGGAACAAGTAAATTAGTGACTGCATTATTAAATCAAAATAATAGTGTCAGGGCACTTGACTGGCTCAGTCCTTAAGTGTTCAATCCTTGATTTCTGCCTGGGTCTGATATTGGGGTTGTGAGATTTAGCCCCATGTCAGTCTCTGAGCTCAGCTTGGATTCTGCTTGGGATTCTCTTTCTCTCTCTCCCTCTGCCCTTCCCCACCCCCACTTGCACTCTCTCTCTCTCAAAATAATAAATAAATAAATAAATAAATAAATAAATAAATACAACAATAATAACAATAATGGTGTCAACATAAAATGATTATTAATAGGAGGGGGGATGAAAATAAGAAAATAAACACACAAAATTCAATCCAGAGGTTGGTCAGTGGTGACTGGCTCATTCAACTGCCATTTTGGAAGCTAAAATTGACATTTTCCGGACCTGACTGCAGCTGGGTTTCTGGACATACATAATGTTCTGGAAATTAAATAAGTTTATGCATCTGGAAGGCTGCAGTGAGACAGGAGTCATTTTTATGCCTCTTCAGCTGTTTCTACTGGCAAGTAAAATCATGGTAACATGAAGTGTCTTCTTCCATCACTTTTCAGAGACCTTTCCTGCTTCCTGGGGAGGAGTACTGCAGGACTGGGGCCTCCAGTCCAGCTTCTGGACTCTAGCCTCTCATCAGTGATGGCCCCAGAGCTAATAGCTTCCCATAAATCCCCTCACAATTGCTGAATAGTCATTCCAAAAGACTGCAACAAGAATTTACCAATACTGGAAGGGGTGCCACAATTTTGCAAGCAACTCATTTCCAGTGTTAAATGCATTCTGGTTCAAAATGCCCAAAAAAGTTGAATGAATAGAAAATAAGGAAGCAGAGACAAATCCAGCCATACAAGCAACCCCAAAATGTAGAGAGGCTTACATTCGCCAATTTATAACCCAAAGATGGTCAGACTGGATAAAGTACAAAATCCAGCCATATATATGTTCTTCACAAGATTACACACAGGCTTAAAGAAAAAGAAAGATTAAGAATATGCTAATCATGGGGTGTCTGGGTGGCTCAGTGAGTTAAGCATCTGATTCTTTTTTTTTTTTATTCTTATGTTAATCCCCATACATTACATCATTAGTTCTAGATGAAGTGTTCCATGATTCATTGTTTGTGCATAACACCCAGTGCTCCATGCAGAATGTGCCCTCCTCAATACCCACCACCAGGCCAACCCATCCTCCCACCCCCCTCCCCTCTAGAACCCTCAGTTTGTTTTTCAGAGTCCATCGTCTCTCATGGTTCGTCCACCCCTCCGATTTCCCCCGCTTCATTCTTCCCCTCCTGCTACCTTCTTCTTCTTCTTCTTCTTTTTTTTTTTTCTTAACATATATTGCATTATTTGTTTCAGAGGTACAGATCTGAGATTCAACAGTCTTGCACAATTCACAGCGCTTACCAGAGCACATACCCTCCCCAGTGTCTATCACCCAGTCACCCCATCCCTCCCACCCCACCCCCCAAAGCATCTGATTCTTGATATCGGCTCAGGTCATGATCTCAGGGTCCTGAGATAAAACTTTACATAAAGCTCCCTGCTCAGTCTGCTTGAGATTCTCTCCCTCTCCCTCTACCCCTGCCCCTGCTTGTGCTCTCTCTGTCTCTCTTTCTCTCTCAAATAAATAAATCTTTAAAAAAACACCAAAAGTATGCTTATCGTGATGAGCACTGAGCAATGTACAGAATTGCTGAATCATTATATTGCACACTTAAAAAGGATATAACACTGCATATTCATTATACTTGAATTTAAAAAGAATAAGAAAGAAAAAAAGGGAAGAAAAAGAAAAATTGAAAGGAAATATATGGGAAAAGATAGACCACACAAATGAATCCGATTTACTAATAACAGACAAAACAGACTTAACCCCAAGGAGAAATTAATTTAAAAAGACCACTTCAGTATGAAAAAAAAAAGTGTTCAATTTATCAAGATACAAAAATTTCTTAAAGACCCTCATTGTATATAAGATGAAAATTCACAGAACTTCTGGTAGAAAAAAAAGAAAATCCACTATTATAGGAGATTTCAATCCTCTTTCAATTGGTAAAGAATTAATGAAGAGATTAAGCATTTGAGCAATCCAATAACTGGATAGCCCAAATCCTTAATTTCTTTAAGTAAAAATTAAGAAAATTTAAGTAAAAAAATAAACATCTAAAATCAATTAATTAGAAAGTAAGTAAATAATTATTTTATTCAACTTCTATGTTAATATGCCTTACTCAGGCTTCTATAAAGTAGATATAAATGCCAGCCCCAAACCCTGCCACATATATATCTCAGCAAGTCCTATACCAGAAACTTTGGTTTTAGATCTTACATGTTATAGGAGCAAGAGCTTCCAGATTTGAATCGCCAACCAGCTCAATGGAAATTATTTATTTCTTCATTGATTTCAACAAAGCCCACTGGAAAGGAATGGACAGGAACAAACCTTTGACTTTGCCCAAGGTGAGTGACCGTATGGCCCTGAATTCGACTTCTGGGGAGAAGTTGTAACTGAGTCGCAGTTGCTGATCCACCTGCAGGAAAACAGAAAACAAAGGTACATCAGCAGAGGTCTGTAAGTAAAGGGCATAAAACCCTCCCATCTGGAAAGAGCTTGGAAACACACACAGAGCAGATCCCTCTTTGGGACTTTCTCTCTGGAGAGATGAGAAATGTCTCGTTAATTCTCCCACAATGCACGCAAAATATTCCTTTCTTCCCTCTTGGTTAAATAAAGGCTTTCATACAAGTCTTCTCCCTGGGAAATTCTGTACAGCTTTAGACAGGTATTTATCTCCCCACTGAGATTTTCTCACCAAGTTCTTTGCTGCAAACAAGCAAACAAATGAAGCCTTCTTGGGGCCACGCTGTGCAGGACTGACATTGAAAGGAAAGCACACACTCATTCCCCATTTCTTCCTTCTCCCCATTTGGCCCTTGCTGCCTCCTTTGCTACACTAATTCTAACCTGGTCCTATTTGGGTGTGGATAGGGGGATTTTCCTGAGCAAATATGTCAGTTTGACAAAAAGTTGGACCCTGGGGAGGATAGGCTAGCAGAACAGTTGCCACCAACATGAACACCTGATAAGCACCCCTCACAGGGGTAAGCAAAGGCCACCACTGGAATTCTTTAGGACTTTATTTCCAGGATAATCCTTTAGGGCACCCTCCTTTTCTGGCCTACTGCTAATCCCAGCTCTATCCCCTTCTTCCACTCCTCCTCATTCCAAGACAGTGTTACCCATCCATTCCCAGCCTTTTTGGTCTAGTCAAATCTGCAATTTCTTCTAGGCTCTACACTGAACATTCACATGATGTGAATAGGTAATTATGAATCTTTAAAACTGTATGCCCAGCCCCACTCTCCACTTGGGAGCAGCTAACCCAGGATTAATATTCAGTTTTCCTAGATCCCACGGTCCCTCCACCCACTTCTGCTCAGATTAACCATTCCCTAGAATCCCCTGGGTTCTGTAGCAGTTTCTGCTGTGAGAGAAGTCACTGGCTATGACTTCTGGTGCATGATTAGATACCTCATTACTATTTCATTTATGAAATGAGACTGGAATAATATTTGCTATGTATTGAATTCTTGGTATGTATGAGACATCATATTGAAACATCTTTTAAAATATATGCCTCCCGATAATACTGTGAAATAGGCATTATTACCCCTGTTTTACAGACTAAGGAACTGATATCTTAGAGATCAATAACTTGGCCAGGGCCAGACAGTGTCACAAAGCAGTGTCCCTTTGTCATGTGACCCACCCATCACTCTTTTTTTTTTTTTTTCACCCATCACTCTTTATGGTGTTTGCTTTACTCGTCCACACCTCTCTAGATATCTGAGCAACTCGTAGACAATCATTGTATGTTTTTACTTCTGGCTTTCAACAAAACTCATCAACAAACATCTGAGAATCTACTATGTGCCAAACACTATTCTAAGTGCTCCATGAGTCTACCTCATCCAGAAAGCTTTCCTTGATGTCTTGGTTAGATCAGGTGACACTCTTTACATTCATGGTGGCTTTTTTTTTTTTCTGCCCCTAACTTTGAATTTAAAGTGCTGCGTTATAATGATCTGCTTCTCTCTCTTTCTCCCTCCCACCCTCACTAAACTATTGCCTCTTTAAGAATTCAGACATTTTAGCAATATATGTTTTCTTTAGGACTTTTTACAGAAACTGGCAAAGTAACTCCTAACATGGGTTTGTTGGGTGAATAAATAAACATCTTGTATTGATTCCCTTTCTATCTTGGGGCTATGGGGACATAGTCGGTCACATCACCAGGATGGTTATCACTGCCTGGTAGCCCCTACACCTTTAGGTACAACATAGGGTTTTTGGTCACCATGGTGCCCATCCACAATTTGTTTAATGCTCATGGATTCAGATTCAGTCCTTGCCCTGAAGGAGTTTTCTTTCTGCCCTACTTCAGAGCTCTTTCCTGCCTCTTCTACTCTCTAAAACTGCCCCTTCCAGTAGGGGCAGGGTCTTCCCCTCCTGTGCTCTTGCCCAGGTTGGAGAGGATGCTGAAATGAGTGGGAATTCCCTGTGGAGTTGAGAACAGTAGAAGGTTGAGCTGAGATTCCCCTAGATTCTGCCCCTCACCTGCTCCCCAGGGTCCATAAGATCAGCTCCTTATGCAAGTTGTTCCTGAACCTTGACAGTTCCATGCTCAAATGTCACACATGGGAGAGCTCACTGTTCAAGTAGCTGAGTCATCCCTATCCTGCTATTCTGTTTCGTGGGAACTTACCTAGTCTTTAGCACTTAAACCCGATGACTAATGAAGGAGAGAAGGTGGCAAATGACACCCAGTTAAGGGAGTTTTTAGAAAAACATGAGTATTTGGAGAGGAAAGAAAGATGACTCAAATGATACTTGAGGCTACTGCTGGACTATGGATAGTTGGGGGATGGGTTCCAGCACTAACATGGAATATGGGCACCTAGCATTAGGACTGGTTCAGGTGCTGGGTTACCAATTTGAAAAAACTTAGCAAATTCATAGGACAAAAGCACACAAACAAAAAAGAAGGGTGTACTAGAGATACTTATTTTCAGGCCTTCAACATTTATAATACGGGCTATTGCAATCATTGAGGTATTCAGTGGGAAATACATTATTTTGTCATATTTCCTTTTATTTGTTTTTATGGTTTAGTATTGTTTTTGTTTTTAATTATAATTGGTGGGGTGGTAAGGGGTGAAAAATTGTCTGTAGTCTTTTATAACTATTGGATGTCTAAAGTTTGAAATCTGGCCTTAGAGAAGCTTTGTTGATCTCAGAATCTAGGATGCCCAGTGGTCTTGTCAAGTTGTTAAATGGGATGGAAAAAAGAAGAAAATGGAACAAACTTTTTTTGAATAAGTCCTACATGGCAGGCTTCATGCTTGGTCTTTTAGCTATGTTCTTTCAAAAACCGACTGAGCTCAGTTTGCATCCCCCCTCTTTTTTTAAAAAAAAGATTTTATTTATTTATTTGACAGAGAGAGACACAGCAAGAGAGGGAACACAAGCAGGGGGAGAGGGAGAGGGAGAAGCAGACTTCCTGTGGAGCAGGAAGCCCGATGTGGGGCTGGATCCCAGGACCCTGGGATCATGACCTGAACCGAGGGCAGAGGCTTAACGACTGAGCCACCCAGGCACCTGTCTTTTTTTTTTTTAATAAAGCAATAGACTGAAGCTCAGAAAAGTGAGTAATGGTCTTAGATCACATAATGTAAGTAGTGGAGCACAAATTCACACTCAAGTCCTATAGGGATACCTCTACTGACCTCAGGATCTTCATCTCTGGAGAAAAAAGGAAGTAATTACTTTGTTTCAAAAGTTCCTACCACCTCCTTCTTCATGAGCTGGCATTTTGGTAAACTGGCTTTATCTGTTTAATGTCACGTATGCATTTCAAATAGGAACACTGAAGTTCACCTCCACCACCAGGGCATTTTGGGGGGCACTTGTACCTTAAAAAACACTAGCCAAATTACAATTCTCAAATCATCTCCAGGAATACTTGCTCCTGATTGCAGGCCCAGTCCCCATGACCTCCTTCTTAGCATCACAAAGAAAGACAGGAGGGAGAATAGCAACTCAAGGCCTGGGGGTTATGAGGGAATCTGTTTTTAGGTACTGGATGCCTCTGGTTGGTTGAGTATGGTGATGCCAACTCCCCTCTCTCTCTAATCAATTCTGATTCACAGGGCCTAAGGGCAGGACTGGAGATGTAGTAGGAGCCTATCCTTTTTACTGAACAGTTTGTTCTAAGCAGGAAGGATGGAGAAATATAGACAGGAAAAGAGGGGTGGGACTATCAAGGAGGCAGGTGTATTATGTTACTGTGTCAATGAACTGATTTAAAATTATTTAAAAAATAGTCTCTGATCCAGTTTTTTTTTTTTTAAGATTTTATTTATTTATTTGACAGGGAGAGAGACAGCGAGAGAGGGAACGCAAGCAGGGAAGTGGGAAAGGGAGAAGCAGGCTTCTCACTGAACAGAGAGCCCGACATGGGGCTCGATCCCAGGATCCTGGGATCATGACCTGAGCCGAAGGCAGACGCTTAACGACTGAGCCGCCCAGGTACCCCTCTGCTCCAGTTTTTTTTCTGCACCCTCAAGGTTTTGGAAATAATATGTTCTCAACCAACATGTTTATCATTCACTATTAAATTGATTGATGGAAATCCTTTTTATGGAAAAGAGAAGGAAATGCCTCTTATTGTTCTCTCACTGACCTGTTTGTGTCTTTCATTTGTGGAAAAGAATACAAGAAATATAAAGAAGGAAAACTGAATCATATGTACACATACTCACCAGAATGCATCCTGCATGTCCCATCAGTACCTCAGTGAAGACATTCAAATGAGAAGTTATCATTCCCATCCCTTTTATCCTCCAATCTTGCACCAAACTAAACTTTCTCCAAAGATGTGTCCCCCTATTTCAAGAGTTAATTCTAGAGGGAAGCTCATTATATTAAAACCACTCAGGGACTGTTTTTTTACCACACATTGGACAATTATTCTTGAACCCCCACTCAATCAAGAAAACTAATAGTCAACTTTGACTTCTCCCATAACCCACATCCAAAAGGTTGCCCAGTGCTACTGATGTTACTTCTATGACATTTCACATCTCCATGTCAATGGTTCACCCACTGCACTAATTGAAGCCCTCATGATCTCTTTCTGACTGGCCTCTGTCATATGTCTCATCACTCCCAAATGTATATTTCCATGCAGTGATCACAGTGAGCCCCTGAAAATGAAATTGTACTTCCCCTGCCTATAATCCAATGGTTTCCCTTCCCTTCTCCACAGGGTCAATTTGATCTCCTCCACATAATAAATTAAGCCTTGTGGAATTTATTCATTTCATTCATAGATATTAATTGAGTACCTGCTATATGTTAGGCACTGCTTAATAAAGTGGGGGTTCTATGGTAATAAAAACAGAAAAAATCCCTGTCCTCTAGAGGAGAGAGAAGACAAAAAATTAGATAAATAAATAAATTATATTGAATGTTAGATTGTGTTTAAGCACTGTAAGGTGGATGTCAAAGGGCTAGGTCGCTGTATTAAACAAGGTGATCAAAAATGTTCTCATTAAGAATAGCTTTTTGAGTGATGTCCTGAAAGAAGTGCAAGTACAACTAGGAATGTAGATATATGGACAATAGCATTCTAAGCAAAGCATATTCAAGTATGTTCAAGAGCCCTGAAAACAGCAAGGAGGCCAGAGTGGCATGAGTAGAGTCAAAGAAAATACTGATAGATGAGGAGTAACATGGGAATGGAGCTGTGGATGCTGGGTCACGGAGACCCCCTTAAGCTTCTCAAGGTCTTTGGCTTTTACTCTACATGAGAAAGAAAACTACTGAAGTGTTCGGATGTAAGAGAACCATCTGATTAATGTTTTAATAGGAACTCTCTGGCTGCTGTGTTGAGAACAGGTTGTAGGGGAACAAAAAGTGAAGGAGAGATCTGTCAATTAAGATGCAACTGTAAACTGTAATAATCCAAGGAAGAGATGAGGGTGGCTGGGGCATGGTAGAGGCTGTTGATCAACAGGATGCTGTATGTGAGAGAAGAGAGATATCAGAGATAACACCATAATGTTTAGACTGAGAAGTTGCCAGAATAGAGCTGCTATTAACTGAGGTGTGGAAGATTATGGGGGTAGGGAATGTTTGGGGAAAGATTTTCAGTAACTTGGTGTGAAATATGTAACATTCGAGATGGTTAATAGACATTTAAGATATGCCAAGTAGGCAATGATAGGTCTGGAATTCAGAGAAAGGATTGGAGTTAAATGTAGCTTTGGGATTAATTAATCAGCATTCTATGGCATTTAAAGATGTGAGTCTGAATGAGGTTAGACACAGAATGAGTGTAGACACAAAAGAAATGAAGATGAGTCTTGGGATGCTCCACTTCAGACAATGATGGGAAGGCAACAAAAGAGAAGAGAATGAGCATCCAGAAGATACGGAAGAAACAACAGGTGAAATTGATGTCCTACAAGCTAAATAAGAATGTGTCTCAAGAGCAGAGGCATCACTGCGTCAAATGCCAATGGGAAGATAAGTAAGGAGAAGATTGCTAGATTCTGTAAGATCACAGGTGTCTTGAGAAGTATAATTTTAGTCCAGCACAGAGACAAATCCTTCACTGGTTTAAGAAAAAAGGAAGGGCAACTTGGAACACCAAATATATAAACATTTCCAAGGATGTGGGCAATAAACTGAAAGAGAAAATGGGACAGTACATGAAGTCAGACAAGAGAGAGGTTCCCTTCCCTGACCTAGAGAGTGATTTTTGTCATGTTGTGTTGTGTTGTGTTGTATTGTAATTGTGTTTTTAATGAATGCAATCCTCGCATGTTTATGCTTTGGGAAGCCATCCAAACAGAACTGGGAAATGTTGACAAGGGAGGGGAAGTTGCTGGAGTGATGTTCTTCAGTGTGATATGAGCCCTGTTATCACAATAAAGAAGAAAAGAAAGTCATCTCATACAAGTGAAGATGGGGTTGTAATTGTTGGGGTGTAAGGGGAAAGGAGGTTTAAAATTATCATCTAAGAGATCAAAAGTGATGAATTAAAAAAAATAAGAGGCAATTGCTGGGCAGATGGAAGAGCTCATTTGAAGTCATGATTCTGAATAGGATGATGTAGACTCTGCCAGTTCTCTGTTGTCATGTGCCCTCACCTGATCCCTGCCTTTTATACCAAGACCCCTGGAATTCCAGAGTGCTTGCCACACACTATGCTTTTCTGGACATCTTTGCTGATTCTCACATGGACCCACCATCTGAGCATTTCTTCCTCTCTTCTCCACTTAGCCAATTCCTCCTCACCTTCATGATTCAGTTTATTCCTAACTTTCTCCAAGAAACAAATATTGATTCCCAGAAGAGATCAGTGACCTCATCTGTGCTCCCATATCACCTGCACACATTTCTCCCCTAGCCCTTGCCAGTCTCTTGTGATTTCCTCTTCAGCTGTGTGTCCTCCTCTTATACTCCAATTCAGTGTTATCAAATTTGATCAGGCTTCAGAATCACCTGCTACCCCCTGCAAAAAAGTTGTCATTAAGTATATCTGATGTAAGGCCCAAGAACTTGCATTTCTAACAAGGTCTCAGGTGATGTTGATGCTGGTAGCAAGAGGGGAACACACTGTAGTTCCGTAGTTCAATTTTGTCTAGTTCTTCAAAAGCTGGAGTCAAGTGTGCTTGATATCTATCCCCAGAACTTGGCTGTACGCTTGGCTCAGGGTAGAAACAGAAAATTTTACTGAACAGCCAAAGCATATTTGACTGAATGAGAAGAAGTAAAGTAAGATACCTGAATGGTAAGCTCTCTTCCCTCCCGGTCAATGTTTAAGTGGTGCATCCTTCTGTTGGCAAAGTTCTCTGCATCAATATTGAAAACCTGGGTTTCTTCCTTGCTTAGCTGATAGCGAACCTGTAAGCTTCCTTGAAAAAAAATATTAGAAATTAGAATTAAACACATGCAAAAATGTGATCAGATTATCTTTTAGTTGATCATTACTCTCTTCTAGGGATCTATGTCTCAATCCTTTCATTATTCAAATTTTTAAAAATGCTATATTACTGTATGTATATAGTATATAGCATAAGCATGTATTTACATATAGCAATATATATATGCTATATACTATATTAATATATATATACACCATATACACTATATAAATTTCATTATTCAAATTTTTAAAAATGTTATATTACTATAGCATCTGGGTCCATATGGAAAATCCTAAGTATAGGTACAAAATTAGTGTGTGTGTGTGTGTGTGTGTGTGTGTGTGTGTGATGAAAAACCATAATTCCAGGTTGGAAAATAAAACAATCACAAGTCTATTGTGTAATTGGATTGTGAAAAATTTTAATAAGATAGAGTCCTTTTCTATTCTCTCTTCAATTCCTACCATTTCTTTTTTTTTTTTTTTTAAAGATTTTGTTTATTCATTTGACAGAGATAGACACAGCGAGAGAGGGAACACAAGCAGGGGGAGCGGGAAAGGGAGAAGCAGGCCTCCTGCAGAGCGAGGATCCCGATGCGGGGCTCGATCCCAGGACTCTGAGATCATGACCTGAGCCGAAGGCAGACGCCTAACGACTGAGCCACCCACACACCCCCAATTCCTACCATTTCTTATAATTCATTTTCTTCCTAATTCTCTTCATAGAATTTCATAATACATACTGTGAAATAAGATTGTAAAATAATCTAAGCCAGAATAGAAGAAAAATGTTTGGCCTATTAAACTGATACACAGTTGAATCAGTTGATACAAGAACCTCTATAACTAATGCTGGTTTTCCTGGTTCGCTCTCTCCTTTTTGCTCTATTATTGTTTGGGTTTTTATCACTTAAATATGAATAATAGCTGTGTAGCAGTGGCATATTTGGTACTGAGAGGAGTTGAGCTGTGGTGGTGGTGCAAATGGGCAGGTGTAGGGCAAGGGGACCTGACCACAGCCAGCCTATGGTAAGGAAACACACATTGTGTGCATTAGTGGGCTGTTGGGTGGCATGCTCTTCCACACTCCTTCCAATTCTAAGAATCTGGGCATGTTCATATTTAATTCCACCCAATAAACTAAATTAGCATGTGATAATTGTGTGTCAGGTATGGTGATGAGTACCACATTCCTTGAGGGTATTTGGACTCTTACCATCCCACTGTCTGAGTAATTCATCTACATACATATTCTGTGTGCATTTGTTCATTTTAAAAATCACTTCTATTTTATATATCTTCTCTCACACCTGCCTCATGATCATCTATCTTACATGTTAATAATCTCATAGGGATTCTGTCTATCAAAGTATTCTGAAGCTTCCCCAACATCACAGTTTATGTCTAAAATACTTCAACCAGTTCTTCTAGAGCCATAGAAATATTGATCTCAATTTCTTAGGAGTTTTGGTGCAATCAGTATCTTCTGCTCCTACAGGCCCTGTGCTCATCTCTACCCTAACAGGTACTGGGCTGTGTTATTTGTATACTCACTTGTCTTTCACACAAATCTGTAAGCTCCTTGAACATCTGCACATATCTTAAGATTCCTAGTGTCTGGACCATAGTAAATACTCAGTAAATTTTAAAGGAAGGAGGCAAGGAAGGAGGGAGGCAGGGAAGGAGAGGAAGGGAGGAAGGAAGGGAGGAAGGAAGGAAGGAAGGAA